AGGCAACGGTAAGACGTGACGCACTCGAGGCAGGCGAGACCATCCATTTGGCTGACCTGTTGGCCATCTGTTCTGAAAAGAACATGGAATTGGACAGCTCGTTTCGCTCGTTGAAAGGTAGGGTATGCTTTAGAGGAGACAATGCCAAGACCGCTGACGGTCGTGCCGCTTTCTACCAGACGCTAGCTGCAAGCCCGGCAAGCATAGTCGCTGCGAACGCCATCATCTCGTACGGAATGATCAAGGGCCACTGCACGACATCGGCAGACGCCATTAAGGCGTACCTACAGTCGGACTTGAAGAGCTTGTGTCGCACTTGGGTGAGGCTACCTCAGGAACTATGGCCAGAGAGCTGGTACTATGATTCCGGCAAACCCCGCTTCCGCAGACCAGTGATATTGCTGAAGAAGTCGTTGTACGGTCATCCAGAGGCCGGCAGTCATTGGCAGGCTCACTTGGAGAAGCAACTGCAGTTGATGGGCGCAATAGCTGTCCCAGAGTACGCTAGCGTGTTCACCTTCCCGTCGTATGGTGGTTTGGCACTTGTGGTCTACGTCGACGACCTGTTGTTGTCGGGCCCTAGTGGGCAACACGACCGCTTCTGGGCAGACTTGGCAGAGCTTGTGCAGATTGAGGATGTCGGACCGCTTGGTAGGTTCCTAGGAAGACACCACTCCATCGTGAAGGTTGACAACCAAGAGTACTTTGCTTTTGACATGAGGGCGTACGCCCAAGCGACAATAGAAGAGTACTGCAAGACCACCGGTTGTTCCAAGCTGAAGGAGGCCACTTGTCCCTTTGTCACGAAGACCTCAGCAGACGATGAGGTGCGTGGTGAGTTGGCAGAAATCGCATGTGGCATTCTCATGCGGTTGATGTGGATTGCACGGCTGGCCAGGCCGGATGTCTTGAAGGTGACCACTTGGTTGGCTAGTCGCGTGCATGCTTGGACACTAGCTTGCGATGTGTACTTGCACAAGGCCATTTGCTACTTGAATAGCACTCAGGAGCGCTCTTGCTAGGACATGTTCGAGACTCCATGGATGATTTGTTTGTAGAAATGTTCGTCGACGCGGACTACTGCGGAGACGAAGAAGACACAAAGAGCACCACAGGAGGATGGCTACAGCTGTCCGGCCCGGCAACTTCGTTCCCAGTTGCCTGGTGCAGCAAGAAGCAAACATCTACATCACGGAGCACAACAGAAGCGGAAACGGTAGCGTTGGCATATGTGTTATTTGAGGAAGGAATCCCATTAGCGGAGCTCTTCTCGGCCATCTTTCAACGCCAGGTCTTGCTGCGCATTCGGGAGGATAATGAGGCATGTGCCAAGGTTTGTGCCGCAGGGTATTCAAAGAAACTCCGTCATCTGAAGAGGACGCACAAGGTCAACCTCAGCTCTATAAAAGAGCAGCTGGATAGGCCAGACGTCGAACTGATGATCGTAGGCACGAAGGAGCAGAAAGCAGACATCTTTACCAAGCAGCTAGAGGCACCACACTGGCCGTTGGCTTTGTACAACATCCAGGTGCAGATAGCAGGCTATGAGGTGGTCAGAACAACACAAACTGGGTTGAAGGTCGCGAGCATGGAAACCCACGCCCTCGAGCCCTCTCCGAACCCGACCGTGGCGACCACTTCGTACAAGAAGAAACGAAAGACAAAGAAGGCGAAACGCATTCCGCCATACACAATGGCACCGAATGCAGAAGCTGAGGTAAGGCAGATGGGCGCACTTTGAGGCGCACTGCTGCTGTCAGCCATGGATGAAGAATGTCTCACATGCCATGTCGTAAGACTCGTGAACGGAGCTTGAGCCGAGGGAAGTCTGAGCTTGAGCACCGAACACTTGTTCCTTGCTCCAGAGGGGGGAGAAAACCACCCTCGGTTAGAACCATGGTTTGTAACATGTGAGAGAGAGCATTGGCTACCAGCTTTTCCCCTTGCTTGGTAGCATTGGAAATTGATGCTGTGTGTAAGCATTGCATTGCAGTTTGCAATGGCATTCTGGAATAGCAGTGGCAACAATGCCATACCGTTACACGTAACCTTGAGTGAAAGCACTGCTGTATAGACATCAGAGACAGAAGTCAAACACAAACTTCGTTTGGCTCAAGTGTGAGAGGAAACTTGTGCGGCAGCCTGGGTTCGATCGCTCGTTGCATCGTATCGTGACTTTTGCTGTACATTGCTCACATTTGGAAGCATATATACACAGATCCAAGAATCTACTTGAAGATGAGACTTGCAACACCAGTCGAGTCGTTTGAGTGTCAAAGGTTCCTCCGGGACTCGTTTGGCGTTATGTCAATTCATATCATTTCCAGGCTGCACCAAGTACCAGTTATTCAGGCAAGCTTTTGTGGCAAGGAACCGGACGTGAGGGTTTGAGGCGGCCGTGTGCAGAAAAATGAGAAGGAAATCGGTACGACGATGTGATACTTTTGTTACCTGATCGCTTGTACAATCTTGTGCATATTTGTAGAAAATCTACATCATCTGCGGGAATAGTTCTGTCATGCCCATTCAGCAATGCAAGGTTGCTTACTTTTTCAGCAGTGCAGCGCGTTCCAAGCCTGAATTCTAATGTTTGCCTGAGCATCACGCGTATGCCCACATTTGGGATTCAACGATTTGCTGCAGTTTGGCGTTTCTTGTGACCTAGTGTTGTTTCTTCTGTGAAGTTTTCCCCGTCTTTGGTGCCTTCACTACAGAGACTACAGTGTTACAGAGGCTCCAAAAGAGTTATACAGACACGGTGTATGTATATAGATAGACAGATATAGACCATTTGGCGGGGAGCTATGTGACCGGTCGTTGGTCTCAGCGTGGGGCGATTGCAATATATTATATATCCACCATTATCCACCACTCTTGTCACCCTGCTTCTTGCAAACGCTCGCATCTCACTGCTTCTAAGGGTCAGGTGGGTAATATACACAAAAATATATATATATATATGTATGTATATATCATGTATATATCAACGGGGAACTTGAACGTCCAAGATCAGAAGCCCTGCTCTTCGGCCGGCCTGTTTATCCACACCTCTCTGCTCAAGTTGGTTTGGTGATTGTTGGGCCTTGGCCCCTGAGCACCATGCTGTGCTCCACCATTTGCCACCTCGATGCGCCCTTCACAGGAACAAAGATCCCAAGCAGGGTGGCGCACAGATGGACAAGGTGATGGCACATCCGCTTGGTGTTTACGCACTTGCAACGCCACGAGAAAAGCTTCCCACGATTTCAAGCCATCAACTGGCTGAGACAAAGGGTGCGTCTAACAACCACTGCTGCAACCACTGTTTGAAGATGTTTGAAGACGAAAGGTAGGGTTCCAAAGTGTTTCCTGCTTGGATGTGCAAATGGTAGATATGGTGAAGGATATCTCCTGTGCAGGTGGCCCAACCAAACCAGCCGCAACAGTGACAAGGGCTGGACTCATCTCAACTACAGCAGCTATGGCATTGCCTTCACACGAACCACGCTGAGCTACTTGGCAGGGAAAGGCATCGCAAAGGCTTCTTGGACGCGCAGGACCTTCCGCATGTGAGTTTTCTTGGCGTTTTTGCCAGTAGCACTTATCATATCATTAGAATGTTTTCCAGAAAAACATGATTTTGAAGGAGAGCTTCAGAACTGAATAGCTCCCGTGCGGAATCGGTGGAAGCCTCCAGCGATCCTGACAGGGTTGGACTGCAAGCCATCCTCCAGGAAATGAAAGAAGACTATGAGGCCCTCCTCATACAGAGTGGTTTTTCTTCGGAGGAATTGAAGAAGGATGAAAAGCTGCAGTCTTACAATGAAGCCGAACGTCGACTTAAAGCAGCAGCTTGGCTCCCATGGGTCGTGTAGCTGAAGAATGCGACATATCATTATGTGTCTCTCCACTATTTTCGTAGACACTTGCTATCATGCCCATATTTCTCTAGCTGCTAGTTTGTCTAAGGACAACCTTCCAAGCTTCAAGATTTGGGCAAAGGAAAATGGCCTTTACCTTCCACGGACGAAACATGAAAGTGAGACAATGTACAAGAAGAAGAAGCCTAGCTGCACAGAGGTTTTGAGTCGGGCACGATGGAAGACCGTGTTCTATTTCTGTTAGAGTTAGTACACAAGTATGAGTTAGTCAGAGACAGAGAGAAAGAGAGTGCTTGAAAGGAAAACTATGCGCCGCCACGGGCTGATGCAGGAGCATTTTTCAAACTCCTCGAGGGGCAAAACGGGGAAGGAAGGGAAGGCCAGACAGAAACAATTTATCAAGGCCAAGCGGAAGGAAATCAAAGCAAAGCGCCGCCAGCAGAAAAAGCTGGAGACTGACTATGCTGACTCGGCCGCCAGCCGTGCCCCACCTCCAGAATGTGAACTTTCCGATGATCGAGAGCCGAGAGCATTCAGGAATTCAGGAGGAGTGAGCAGCTGATGAGAGTCGATTGATTAAGTCAGTATAGCAAGACTTTGACTGAGTGGCCTTGTAGCGGGATCTTTAGATTTACACGTTCCATCAAGTTACCTGCCAAAATGATGACGTGTCAGATTTGATTTGCTGGCTTTGGAGTTGCAAAGCCTCCTGGCATCCGTCATCCGTGAAAAACTGCGCACATCAATGTAACATTAGTTTGCAAATGTTTGCAATATCAATGCAGAATAGAGGCACAGGCACAGAGTTTCAGCAGATAAGTATACACTATATATATATATATATACATAATTTCCGTTGCTGCCGACAATCTAAAATGGGTGTGATTAAGTGCCTTTAGGTGAGACTTAGGCTGACATGCTTGAAGGTTGAACGAAATAGTAATAACTGTGAATTTTGAGCATGACATGCCACAGGATCGTACGCGTATGAGCTGATGTGTCTGCCGCCATTTCCCGATCAGGTGCGCACTGAGCCTCGCTCTTTTTGCTAGAAAAGGCGCCGTCCTTTACCCTTTCATGTGACACAACACCCCGTCGCACGTGTTGTGTTCAGTTGGCACCGGAGCCTGCTGACTGTCCATGGCCACCTCCTCGCTGGTCGATTCCCTTCCGAACGGATGGACGCATGCTGAACTGGCAGAGCTTGAGGAGACGCTGGCCACAGAGACTGGAGCCGATCCAGGTGCATTGACCTCAGACTCCAGACCCTGGCGTTGTTTGAGATGTCATTCAAGTCATTGGGCCCCGCTGGGTACCGACACCTACACGTGTCTTGACTGCCACTCTCGAGAGTCGTCGTAGAACTCTTCGGAACCTCGAAGGCACCAGACCTCTGATGGTGTTTGGATGTACGTTCCTGCGGCGCGGTCTGATGGCTCTCCCAATGAGAATCCGCCCCCATTTGCTTCCCGGAGGCAGTCCGAGGATCAGCGAGCCACTGACCCGGCACGGGAGGCAGGTGAGAGCGAGAATCCAACCCATGATCCTTCGGTGGACACCTCGGTTGACTATGTTTGGCCCCGAGGCCTTGGTTCCGAGTTGTCGGCCGCCAGTTCAAGACGTCGACGAAGGAGAAACCGATCCACTGCGCAAGAAGTACCGAGCAATCCATCGCCTTCAGGTGTTCCTTTGCCGGCCATGCTGCCGATCGAAGCTCGAGGCAAGGGAGTTGGCAAGAGTTCAGACGACTCGGAGCTCCTCAAGGTGATGAAGCAGTTGCTTGAGGAGCGCAAGAACGACAAGTCCTCGCAGAGCAGTTGGGACACCCGTAAGGGACCGTCGCCTGGCATAAAGTGGAAGGGTGGAACACCACCAAATCCACCCAAGTGGAACTACAGTTCCTCGGACCTCCGTGCCTTCTCCAAGTTCGAGCGTCGGGTCAACGTTTGGAGATTACAGGTTCAGAATCAGTTGACCGCGCTGAAGCCGGCTTGATGCTGTTCTCAAGCCTGACAGGCGAGGCCGAGGCAGAAAGTGAACACATGGAGCTGTCGAGGGTGAATGACAAGAACGGCGTGGACTACATTCTTTCGTGCTTGAAGGGGCCGCTTGAGCAGAAAGTTTTGTATCAGAAGCGTGCATTGCTTGCAAACTATGAAGTTGTTGCCCGCACTGCAAACGAAACGATTCGTCAGTACATCAATCGATACAAGCGGATCGAACGTGATTTGCAAGCAGTTGGCATACAGACAGGTGCAATGTATGACTCAGAGTCGAGGGGAAACAGGATCCTTGAGCGTTGTAAGTTGGAACCTTCATTGGCCCGTTTGGTCTTGATTGGTGCACACAACAGCTTGGATTTTGATGCCATTGTTGAAAGTTTGCAGCTACAATTCCCCGACTTTAAGACCACGCCAGCAGTGTTTCATCAGCATCAGCCTCCATGGAAGCAGCCACAGTCGTTCAAGTCTAGGGGAAAGTCTTACAGTTCCACATCCGCCTCCTTGGATGGGCGGGCCTTGTTGTAAGTAGATGCTGCACTTGCAAGTACATAGCAGACTTGCAAGTGAACTTAACATACTTAGTGGAAGAGGCGCGTGTGAACTTAGCGGATGTGGCTAAGTACAACTTAGCGCTGGTTCTAAGTTACTTAGCTATGTTTGCTAAGTTGTCTATGTACTAAATTCACACTGCTCGGACATTGCCTCAACACTGCTTGCAGACAAAGCATGTGCCGGCTCCGGCTACCAATTTACCATGCGCTGCCCAGTCAAGAGTTGACAGGGCCAATGCGTTTTCACAGCGCACGCGGACAGAATTGCAATCCACAAACGCTGTTCGCAGAGTTTTCTTGAGCCTCACGCTGTCTTATAACGTAATTTGTTCCCATTGTGAGTTGTAATCCTGCGCGCTTCCACCAACCAAACATGTTCCCACTGCACGTTGAAAGACTTTAGCAGTGCGATATTGTTTCTATTTTCACGGCGAAAATTAAGGTTCACCGATGACTATAAACTATCCTCACCACCCTCTTGCGAGGTAAATATATGCTGAGGATAGGCGTATATAGAGGTATGTATAGGCCGCTTCCACCACCGCGGTCGGCGGTCGGACCCAGGTTTTTGAGGTTGGGAACCTATATGGGTATCTATAATATGGGGGGGCCGCTCCATTTCTGCAGTTCAGTACTTTACAAGAGTACCCCACCTACACTTACAACACTAAGTTTGTGCTTCTTCACACAGGAGTCCCAACAGGCGCAGGGAATAAGCTGTAGACCAAACATTAAGTGCTGCGCAGGCCCTTTGTAGGGGCAAATAGATGTTGCGACAATCCCTGTTTTGGTGGCATTCTAAGTGTGGGTGGTACACTTAGCCAACTCCGAAATCACAACTTGAAGAACTTAGGGCACATAGCTATATGTCCCCTAAGTTGTATCAAAATTACATATGCTTCTTAGCGATATCTTCCGTATGTAGCGCCTAAGTAGGCAAACTTTCTTGAGCAATCTATAAGTGACCGCGCTAAACTTACAAGTTCGCCAAAGTTAACTGTGCATCTTGCACAACATGCAAGTTCGCCAACATTATGTTAGCAGGCTTGCAAGTCTACATGGATGGCTTGCAAGTAACTTAGCAAGTTCGCTTTCTGCTGCAACTAAATACAAGCGCAGCGCTCATCCAAGTCCACCACCACGAGCTCAAGCTCAACGGTGCCGTCATCGGCATCAGCCTACAACCGCAGCAAAGGCAAAGGAGGGTATCCACCTCGCAAGGTCTTCCAGGCCGAGCACGAAACCGCGCATGAAGCTGAAAACGAAGACGAGCTCGCCATGGCCGACATGGCCGCTGAGGACGAAGAGTTCTTCGAGCCCGAGGAAAACCCCGATGCCTCACCACCAGTCGACCCTGATCCGGACCAAGAAGATGACGATGATTTGGGTGCATCGCTAAGCGAATTGGCATCCGTGCTTACAGTCACTTCCAACAAGTTGAAAGCAGCTACATTGGGTCGAAAGTTCACAGGACGCAAGTCCATACAAGAGAGGAAGCGCACAAGCAGTTGTTCAGCTTGCGGTGCCATCGGCCATTGGGCTGGTGACACCGAGTGTCCAGTCTCGGCCAAAGGCCCTGGCAAAGGAGGAAAAGGCAAGAGCAAGACTGCAACTGGGGGGACCCAATCCTCGACTTCCTCTCGTGGTGACCTATGGGGATGAACAACCACAAGATCCACAAGATCCCTTCTACACCTTCCCGGCCAACCTCATGGTAGATGTTCCGGATGCCCCCTTCGTTTATGTCACCGAGACCATTGACCTAGCTGGCTACATGGTGTTGGACACGGCATGTCAACGGTCATGTGCTGGGAGCCGGTGGATGGGTACACATATGAAGTTGTTGGGAAACCATGGGTTGCAATGTCACCAAGTACCATGCGACGATCGATTCCAGTTCGGTGCAGGTGCATGCCAGCAAGCAGCAACCCGCTGCTACTTTCCAGCTGCCTTCATCAGTCAGGAGACTCAGGGCATTGTTTTGGGTGCAAGCGTTTTGGATGTCAACATTCCGTTTTTGGCTAGTCGCATCCTCATGGAACAGTTGTGCTGTGTCATTGACATGCATCAAGGCATTTTGCATTTTGCAGTTGTTGGCATTAGTGTTCCATTGAAACGCAAGCACGGACATTTGGTTGCATGCATCACGGCATTCCCTCCGAGAGTTTCGCACATGTCTTGTTGGAGTGATTTGCAAGATGATCGTTTTTGGCATGAACCTTCACCCGAACTCGTCGTGCATACCGAAGCCTTGGCTGTTTCAGACGGTGTTTCCATCACGGCTTTCATCTATGCGGGCCAGTCCATCGACGAGACAGCCACCCACATGGCTGGAACACTGGAGGACCTTTCTCCTCCGCCTGTTCCTGTTGGAGTTCAATGTCATCAAGTCCATGCGCAAGCTGGTGCGCCTCGGAATCCGTCCAAGGACATGGCTCAGCAGCATGGGTTTGCTCGAGCTGCAGGAGAAGCATCGTGCACAGATGCAGAGGACCATGGTGTCACAGAGGGATTGCACTCACCCCGAGTTCCAGCGATACGGCAACCTCCACGGCCGCTTCGCCAAGTGCAAGAGACGCGATCAAAGGTTCAAGTGGAACCAAGAGCTCGGAGCTTGGGCGGTACACTCACCAACATCTTCAAGCTCGTCTGCGCTGCCCTTACCCTCACAGGACACAATCCTCTCTCCGTCAGAACTGGTTCACAGGACCACGGCAGCCAAGAGCAAGTCCAAAGCAGCCAAGAGCAAGAGCAAGCCAGCACCACGTCGGCCCTCCGACACCAGATCAACTACCAGCTCAGGCTCCATGAGACCCATGTTCCACGACCTGACGATGAACGACTACCAGGGATCGGGGTACACTCGAGAGGAGTTCGAGAACATCATGGAATGCTACGAGGAAAGGGAGCCGACCTCAGACAATCCGGATCAGTACCACTCCGATCTGGAGAGCTGGGACTGGAGGGCATGATGGACAGTGACCATGACTATTGGGAAAAGGGCAAGAACAAGCTCACGAGGCATCACAACATGCCCCGATTGTTGCTGTACAACCTTCATCACCAAGACTGCCCGATTCCAAAACACCTTCTATGGTCAGACTGCCGAGCAGAGGTACAGTATGAAGACGGGACATTTGAAACCGTCCAATATGATTGGAGGAGCCGCCAGGAGACTCAGCTCAAGATGCCATGGACTGGCCGGACGGTCTTCACCATCCAGAATTCGAACAACCAGTCCACAGGCCTTCTGTCATCAGCCGCTCGAAGGGCTCTTCGAGGCAAGCTGAGAGAGCTGCACCGTGTCTACAAGATAGAATATGACCTGGTGAGCCAATCCAAGGATGATGATCACCTGCTCGAGCACTTCAAGAAGTCACGGGACACACGGTCCAAGGTTGACATCCTGGAGACATTCGCAGGACAAGCCAACATCTCCAGAAGAAGCGGCCAATTTGGCCTTAGTGCGGCAGCGCCCATCGACTATGCAACCGGATGGGACCTTCAGAAGACCGCCCACCTGGATCAACTCAAGCCCTTGATCCTCATTCAGGGGATCGATTGCCGCGACTGGTGCATCCTTCAGGACAACACCAATTATGTCAGGAGGAAGATTCTTTTGCTCATGCGTCGGGCCAAGGCACGCAGACTGTTGAAGAAGGTCTGCCAATGGTGCCGCAAGCAAGTGGATGAAGGACGCATGTTCCTGCTGGAAAATCCCACTACCAGCCGGATCTGGTTCGAGCCCGTCATGACCAGCCTGCTTAACCTTCCCGGTGTGACCACCATAACCTGTCATGCCGGATCATATGGAGCCCAGGACTCGGAGGGCAACATGATCAGGAAGGGGCACAGGTTCATGGGCAACTGCCCTCATGTACTGGCACGTCTGAGCCGCAAGCTCACACCAGACCAGCAGAAGCAATGTGTGCCACTCCAAGGCAAGGAAACCACCTTGTCACAGCACTACCCACCAGAGATGGTCGCCGAGATCCTCAGGGGTGTGCGAGAAGAGGTACACCACCGACATCCAGATCGACAACGCCAGCCCCGTACCTTTTTCACCACGTTCATGGTCACAGCAGTTGACCAATGGGCAGAAGCACTCCAGATGGCTGACAGCACGTTCCAAGTCACTCGATACAAGTCCTTCACGCTGCCTACTTCAGATCCCCTCTTCCTCAAGGCCTTGGAGCTTTCTCAATGGAAGCACATGGAGAGGGTTCAGATTCCTGGCGGTTTCCCTGGCACGTGCCTCACACACAGGGCAGCCGTGCTCAGATACACCGATGGCCAGGTGGATGTCATTGAAGAAGATCTTCAAGAACTACGTCACCCAAAGGCACGGTTCAAGAAGCCAGTGGACGTTGGCATTTTCATGTTTGGACAAGCCCGGCAGGCAGAACCACACGCATCACATCCTCCAGAGGCCAAACGCCTCCGACCAGACCAGGACGACACAGCCACGACACAGGCATCAGACCGGCCAGATGACAACCCAAGAAGCATTATGCCAAATCCCTCGGAGGACATCACCTTCCCTGATACTCTCAAGATCAGTGCGGAGATCAAGAACAGCCTCCGTCGGATGCACAAGAACCTTGCACATCCCAGACCAGCAGAACTCAAACGACTGCTGGACGGCATTTCCGACCAGCGGATCCACACAGCCGTTGAGTCGATGTCGTGCGATACATGCAATCGCACCAAAGGGCCATCCAGGCCTGCTCCAAGTGGCGTGATGGCCGATGATGGAGCTTCCCAATTTGCCGACAGAGTCCAGATGGACATCTTCTACGTCAGAGACCTGACAGGAGCAAACCATATGATCCTTGGGGTCATTTGTGAAGTCACTCACCTTCACTTGGGCTTCCTCCTCCAGAACCGCTCGCCGGAGGAGATCACCCGCTGCTTCACCTTAGGTTGGGCCAGGGCATTTGGCTTTCCACTCCGGATCAGAACAGATCCAGATGGCTCGATCCGAGCCGCCTTTGAAGCAGCTATGGATGAAGCCGGTGTCTACATGGACTATGTTCCGGCAGAAGCACACAACAAGATAGGCCTCATTGAGCGCCACAATGCAACATACAGATCACTCATGGAACGAGTGATAGAACAGCAAGCAGTTGTCGGCAGCAACCAGATGGAGCTCACAACAGCTGCAGCAGCACACGCCAAGAACTCCTGCACATGGTCGGCGGGACGTCCGCCATACGTGGCCGCTTTCGGCCGCATTCCACGACAAGGCATGGAGCTCTTGAGCGACCCACACGGCCTTGTGACAGGCCAAACAAGAGCACAAGCACAACAGCTCGCAGACACTTTGCGGGTCGAGGCACAGCAACAGATAGCTGCCATGTCAGTTGACAGCACTTTCCGGCGGGCACTCCTCCGGAACACAGCACCGACAGAGCAAGACATCCCAGAAGTTGGCAGCATCGTCGCCTACTGGCGTTGGACCGCCATGCGGCAAGAAACGCGGGTACAAATTCGCAAGGTTGCTTGGCCGCGACCCAGACGGCAAAAGCATGTGGGTTCAAGCAGGAACCAACACTGTCAGAGTCGCCCCTCACCAACTGCGGGTGGCTCGTGGCTTTGAGAACTGGAACCCCGACTACCAGCAGATCAAGGCCCTCAGACAAGCATCACATAACTTGGACGACAACAACATCCAGGATGACACAGTTCCAGCACCACCGGAACAACTGGATGATCCAGACCAACCACTCGAGAACGATGACCACGAGCTCATCCCCGAGGTTTCCGAACCGGCATTACCTCTTCTAGTACCTCAGGCCTCAAGGGCCAACCAACAGGCACACCACACAGAAGAGGCAGTACAGACAGATCCCTACCTGCAACAGCAGAGCGGTGCACCACAAGTTGAGTACCATCTCAACGTGCACTCACCGACATACAAGCAGACCATCATACATCATACACCCACAAGCACAGCCGAGTACACCATTCGGCATGACACCAGAGCAATGGATGCAGCCGGCAGTGAATGTACCTGTGAGAAAACAACACCGCTCCCGCACACCAGGCGCCCGCAGAGCAAGAGCACTGGCACCAGCAACACCTACAGCAGGAGCACTCACCAATGAACCACAGGCATCCAGCACGGCAGCACAGGCATCACATCATGCTCTACCACCGAGCCAGAGCACTCCGGCTCAACCACCAGGTCCACAGGCAAGTGAAGCAGAGGTCATCGATGTTGACGGCCTATCAGACAAGACACCACCGCTGCAGAAAGACCATTTGGCTCACGTAGTGCCGTCCACACCACCGGACTTAGCACTGGATACACGGCAGACCTCTAAGAGGAGCAGCACCGAGATGGAGCAGCCGATACCAGAGCAAGCACCAAGAGCCTCAGCAGACTTTGCAGCACTGCTTACAAAACACATTCGGCAGCAGCGGATTGGCAACAACACCTACATCCTTCATGGATACCAGAACATAGCAAAGGCAGCAAACACCACAGGCACTGGCCTTCACGTTTGGGCCAGACTTGACACAGCATGACATTGCCTCCAGACCACCCATTTTGCGGGTCCGCCCAAAGGATCCATCCAGCACAGGAGGGTTCTCACTCACCCTCACGGCAAGGTCGTCTGGGACACTCCGTACGACAGCGATCAAGATGGTCGCACAATACTCCCAGAGCGCACAAACCTGATCACAGAGCTATGGCATGAACCTTATGCAGCACATCTCTCCTCACTGGAAACAACTCCAGACGGCATCCAGTTCAGAGACCACTACCAGGATGGCAGTGAACATGTGAAGATGCCATATGCTTGCCACTATGCCTTTCAGGCATACCGGGCAGTCCCAGGCTACACTGGCACCGGTGAGTCTAGCGACTCTGAAGCCTCAGCCGATGACATGACGGCTGGACACCAGGGCACCACCAAGACCCTGACACGCCAGGAACAAAAGGCCCTGGACAAGGAAGTCCCTTGGCAAGCCATACTGGAGATGAACCAAGAAGACATCGACAAGTATGTCGACTCGGCAAAGGCTGAAGAGACCTCCTGGCAACAGTTCAATAGCGTGATCCCTCTCACGACCCAGGAGGCATCTCAGGTCTTCAAAGACCCAATCCTCAAGAAGAGGATTCTGCGGTCAAGAGCCGCGTACAGAGACAAGGCAAAGGGACAAGGCCCGCTCAAGGCCAAGACACGGGTCGTCGCCTTGGGTCATCTCGACCCTGACTTGAAGGAGCTTTGCCGCGAGAGCGCTACACCAACGCGCCAAAGTGAGTACGTGTTGTATGCGATCTTCATCGCAGGCCACAACAACATGTTTCTTGATGGCCATGATAATGGCAGCTATGGTGTGGTGACATCAAAACCGCATTCCTGCAGGGGGCGCCAGATCCTCGTCGTCTTCCGCTGTACATGCTTCCTCCTCAAGATGGGGTAACCAAGCTTGCAGGCACATTTCGTTCACCGCTCTACAAGATTGTTGGAAACATCTATGGCCTTGCAAGCGCCCCCAGGACATGGTCGTTGCATGTTGTCAAGGAGCTCACCACAAAGGCCGGATTCCGCCAGCACTCGCTGGACACGATGTTGTTTTATTTGTGGGAGCGCCTGCCTGGAGATGAGCATGAGTCGTTGGCAGCAGTTTTGGTTGCATATGTTGACGACTTCCTCCTCACCCACAACGAGCGTTGGGACAGGTCCAAGCTCACCCGACTTTTCCAGTGGGGAAGTCAAGACGCCCTCACGGAACAACAGAGCTTGGTGTTCAAAGGAAAAGAGGTCAGCCTGAAACGCCAAGGTGAGGTTTGCTACTTGGCCCTGACCCAGTCCAAGTTCATCGCTGGCATGAAAGTTGGCAATGTCGCATGCAAGAAGCGACTGGATCAGGTGATCCAACCGGAAGACATGCCGGAGTTTCGCTCCGTCGCAGGATGTCTGCAATGGCTTGCAGGTCAATGTCGACCAGAGGTGGCATCAACAGTTTCGTTGCGCAGCCGCGGAACAAAGTCCACCTACAAGGACTTGCAATGCCTGTATGATGCAGTACAGTTGCTCCATGCCTCACCAAACAACGGCATCAACATGTGGCCAGTTCCAGTCCACCAGCATAGTTTGCTGGTCAGTTTTTCTGACAGCTCATGGGCCAACGCTGAAGGCTCAGCTAGCCAACATGGCAACTAGGTCCTCATCGCCGATCCCAAGATCACCGACACCACAGGGACGGGATTGCTGATAGATTGGAAGTCAAGCCGCAGCAGCCGAGTTTGCAGGAGCACCCTTTCGGCAGAAGCAAGTGCATGTGACACTGGAATTGATCGAGCCGCCTTTCTTTCATTCCTGCTGTCAGAGATGATTTTCTGCTGCCCTTCGTTCAAGCTGACCCGGACACTTCGCATCATCGGTGCCACGGACTGCAGATCGTTGTACGACGTTTTGGTCAGCGAGAATCCTCGCACGGAGGACAAAAGGACCATAGTGGTCATCAGAGCCATCCAGCAATATCTGCAAAGGCCTGACGTTCACTGGGTTCCGACCCGCCTCCAATGGGCAGACAGCTTGACAAAGTTGAGTGACAAGCTGGTCACCACTTTCATGCAGTGGCTTGAAAAGCCATGGATTCAGCTCAGGGAGACGGTCGCCAGACCACATCAAGCTCAACAGAATATCATGAGTGTGAATTTTGAGCATGACATGCCACAGGATCGTACGCGTATGAGCTGATGTGTCTGCCGCCCAGGTGCGCACTGAGCCTCGCTCTTTTTGCTAGAAAAGGCGCCGTCCTTTACCCTTTCATGTGACACAACACCCCGTCGCACGTGTTGTGTTCAGAATAACACAGATTGACTTAAATAGGAAAACCAAAAAAACAAAAAACCTTGAGAAACCCAATAACAACCTAGGAAAAACACAAAAAAAAACAAAAACCTTGGGAAAACAAAAAACAATTCTGGGGAAGTCTTGAGGAAAGGGGGTGTCCAGCCAAGAGTCTCTCAGAATTGTTTTTGGGTGCTTTTTTGTTTTCCCAAGGTCTTTTTGGTGGTTTGTTTTTT